CCCGCTTGGTTTCTGTGCTGGCTGCAGAGGAGGGAAGGCCTTCCCCCCTCCCTCGTCCTGCTCCGCTGTCCCTGCAAGTAGAAATCATTGTTTTGTTTCCTCTGCCTGCTTAGGGACTAATGCAGGGGTCAGCATCCCGTGCCTCCGGAGCCTCATGTGGCTCTTTCATCCCTCTGCTGCGGCTCCCTGTCACTCAAAATATGCGTCACAATCGCTAATGTGTGACACCCGCTGGCATGCAATTTATTGAGCTTTTCAACCCCTGAAAGGCCAACCATGGATAAATCCAAGAAAAGAAAAGTTTTAGGAGAAAAGAGAACATTTAATGGTACGTGGGCAGAGTCACTGGCTTTCACTGCTGACGAGACTGGTTTACCAGTATGCTCGATATGTGGTGAGAAACTGGCAAACAACAAAAAGTCGGATGTTGCAAGACATTTCCAGAATAAACACACAGCCTTTGCTGAAAAATATCTGGACGGAGATGAGAGAGAAAAAGCCATTTCGGAACTGACGCGGAAGGTTGATCTGAGCAAAAATCATTTCAAGAAGTGGATTAAGTCTGCAAATTCAACTACACATGCTAGGTTTGTGGCCGCTCAGGAAATAGTCAGGCACGGGAAGCCGTTCACAGATGGAGATTATATAAAAGAATCTTTCACTGATTTAATAAATGCAACACACTATAGTTTTTTTCTACATAGCATAAAGCTAGAAAACGATATATGCAGTGTCATCTTCACTGTTGATGTCAAAAGGGTTTTGTGGCCCCCTGTGTTTTCTTTTCTGTGGGAAATGGGTCCAAATGGCTCTTTAAGGTTGCCAACCCCTGGACTAGTGTCTTGTATTTCCACGATTATGTACAAATTAGCAGCTTCAGGAACAAAACCAGAAATTCTTGCTTTGGGCACTCGAGTATTGCAAAAGCAGCTCAAGAGTGGGCCAGCCTCTGTTTCTCAGCCTAACTTTGGGCCAGCCACTGCTTCTCAGCTTAACCTACTTCACAGGGTCGTGGTGTGGATAAAACTGGATAGGAGGACCACAGAGGCTACCCTGGGCTCCATGCAAAAGCGAAAGAAGAAAGAGGCAGACTGGACAGACAGAATTTGTTTTCCTTGCAAGCAGGGGGAGAAACATGCATTGCTGAAATTGGCCATCTCTGTCTTTTGCAAGGTGAGAGAAATGCCGAGGCATGTCTGAATAGCCATACGCTTCCAGGTCCAGAGGGTTATAAGCAGCCAGATAGCATGAGGGTGCCTGCAGGGATTAGTAACTTGTGATTCCACACTCAGATGCAAAGAAGCAAGTTAAGACACTCCAGGTTAAATGAGCAGGAAAAGGGAAATGCAATTTTTAACACGCTCCTTTTAATTTATTGCAAGACTTTTATACTGCTTAATGTATGAAAAATGCCTACATGCTGGACCATAAAACACAACAGAAGCCTATTAAAAAGAGCTTCATAGGCCTGGAAAATGTTGCTGCTCACTTTTTCCACAACACATCTAACTTTCTACTTCGCTATCACTCTTTTTTTCTCTAAGCTAAGCCGCTCCAGATGCCGCTACATTTCCTGGCAGGGGACTTGCTCCAACCCCTTGATCATTTTAGTTTCCCTTTCCTGAACTTTCCCCAAGTCTATAATTTTTTAAGGGGCTTGGACCTGAACTGCACCCCATATTCTAAGTGTAGTTGCAGCACAGATTTGTAGAAGGGGATTTGTATAAGAAGAGCAGGATTTGGCAGTTTTATTCCCTGTTCCTTTCCTCATCCTGCCTAACACGGGGTTTGCCGTTTTCACAGCAGCTGTGCACTGGGTCGACATTTCCATTAAGCTGTCCACCAGCACCCCAAGACCCCTTTCTCAGACAATCTCTCCTAGCTCAGATTTCCCCAGTTTATTCTTGAAATTGGGAATTTTTTTTTTTTTGCCCTAAATTGCATTACTGGACACTTTGAGGCCATTCTCCCAGTTTGGAGAGATCCTTTTGGAACTCTACACGATCCCTTTTGGTTTCATTCACCCTGCAAGGGACCATTCACACAGATCAACACCCTGGCACAAAGAAATTCTCTGTCCCAGCACCCAGGGGCTCCCTTCCCGGGGGCGGGGAGGGGGTCTTCTCCACCAGGCAAACTCTCTTTCCTCATCCCCACGGACTGCAGTTTCTTTCCTGTTTCCCACTGCCCTGCCTTAGTAGAAAGAAACTGAAGGACGCCCTCGGGACGTGATGGACACAGCCCGCAGGCTTCCTGATGGTTGGTCCCGCTGTCTGGGGCTGATGGGAGCTGAAGATCAGAACATCTGCAGGGCCCTCGGATGGGGGACGGTCCCTCAGGAGAAAGAAGTGGCTGGGAATACCTGTCCCCATGCCTCCAAGGCAGGGAAGCGCCCGTATGGGGAGGGACCCTGCTGGAACCAGGGTCGAGATGGGGGGTGGAGAATGGAGGGGTGGGGAGGGGGCTCCGTCCGCCAATTCCCTGCCCCCCCCCGCCGTTCCCCCAGCCCCTTCTCTTGCTCACCCCTCCATGCACATTACCTGCCAGGGCGCCTTCCGCAGCTGCAGGGAAGCCGGCGCCCCCCGCCCCGAAAACGCCCCTCCCGCTCCCTCGCCTCCCTCTGGCGGAGAGGAGCATCTGCTGCGCGGGGCATGGCTGCCCTGCTCCCTCTAGGAAGCCGGGCTCTCTATCGGCTTAACCCTTTTGCCGGAGCGCGGCGCATCCCCGGCGCGGCAGGGGCCGGCGCTGCGCCGCGCGGGGGGCCGGAGCGCCCCGGGTTCGATCCCCGGCGCCCCCGGGGAAAGCGCTGCAGCCGCGGCTGGGGACCGGCCGGTTCCTCTCCCAGCCCGTGGACTACAGTTCCCGTCGCTCCCAACCCGAATGGCGAAGGACTGGGACGGATGGACGGACGGACAGCTTTGGGTAATTGCATTTAGCCATAGGCCATGAGAAGTGAGCAAGGTAAAACAATGCATTCAGAGATAAAAAAAAGCATAAATCAAATGTCTCAAAACATAATATAAAAGACAGAGCAGGCATAATTCAGGACGGGGGGGAGGATGGGTGTATATTGATGTTTCCTTTTTTGCCCGTGTATTTCATTGCTATACCACCCGGTGGCAATGGGCATTCACGAAAGAGGCAAGCTGCAAAGGCGAGTTCATAAACATGTGAGATGAAACTTGGAACATACGAAATGGAGATGCTGCTAAGCGCCGCAGTCACGCCTGGTAAAACCAGCCGGCTTCAAACACCCTTCCTCTGCCAGTCAGTGCTTGGGAGTAGATGGAAGCCCTTCCCTGGAGCCAGGATGATGGCAGTGTGAGCACCAGGCAGGGCTCCGTGGGGAAAGCGCTCCAGAATCAGGGGGCCACCACTGAGAAGGCCCTCCCTCTGGGAGGAAGACCTTGGGTGTTTTGCAGCGTGGCCCAAATCATCGAGCAGGAGCCAGGATGCCTATCGAATGGCATCCCATGAGGAGCCAGAACAGGACCATGCTGGCTGAGGATAGTGGGATTTGTAGTCTCATAGACTAAGACCCTTAGTTGGAAAATGTTAAGCTAGTCAATTCCTCTACCCTCTTCCATAATATAGGGATGGGCCTGTGCTCAGTAGCTTCTAATTTCCTTTACATTTCTCCTATATGTTTATGAATTACAGAGTGAGGATACCAAGGTTCCATTTGGATGCCAGGAAGTACTTCCTACATTTAGGATCCCGAGGGTATTGGATGGGCTACTATGGGAGGTGGTTGAAGCCCCATTGGTGAGGGTGTTCAAGGACAGGCTGGACATGTACATGGTAGATATGTCATGAGTGGAGCCGACTGGAGCCAGGAGTCAGACTAGATAGCACAGGAGGATCCTTCTGGCTTGCTCTGTTTCTATCTTTCTGTTTTCTATGATTGTGAGCAGCAGGAGGAGAAGGGTGTAATGGAAACACTGCCCTATGAGGAGAGGCTGAGAGAACTGGGCATGTTCAGCCGAGAAGACTGTGGGGAGGGGCATGGTATCCCTCTAGAAGTACCTCAAAGGCTGTCACAAAGAGGAAGGTCAAGATCTCTTCTTGCTGATGCCAGAGTGTAGGACACGGAATAATCAATTCAAGTTGCAACAACCTAGCTTCAGGCTGGACATCAGGAAAAGCTTCCTCACTGTCAGAGAGAGGTCATGGGTTCTCCCACAGTGGAGACATTCAAGGGGAAACTGGACAGCCACCTGAGTGGGATGGTGCGAATTGGTGTCCTGTCTGATCTGGTGGCCTTCATGGCCCCTTCCAACTCTACTCTTCTATGATTCTCTTCCAAGCAAAACCAGGTCCGTTTGCCAGAAATAGCAAGGGAACAGATCCTTTACGAATCATCCTCTTCATCTCCCAAATGGAGTCACTTCTGCAAGTTTTCCCAGAAGGGAAAGTCCGGTGGGACTTAACCCAAACGTTACACTTCTGCTCTAAGCTTTGTAAGCCTTCTTGGTTGCAGAATGTCTTGCTGGCAGGGGAACTTCACTTCCTTAACCCTAGCAACTCATAGTAAACTCCGTTGATGAGTGCGGCACCTTCCACAGCTTTGAAAGGGCACCAGCGCTTGCCAGCTCTTACCAGACACCCAACGATTTGTGCCTAGCCTCACGGGCAGTGCCAGCAGCCTGACCAGCTTTTAGGCCAGGACAGCTGGTGGCGAAAGGACAGTGCGTGAAGGGGACACCTGAAGCCAGCAGCATCGCATGTCATGCCTCGCGTGCAGTTCCCTCTCCTGAGTGAAAGGAGCGACACCTGAAGTAGGGCAGGGAGGAGAGAGCGCAATGGAAAATAAGGGGATAAAAGGGGCGAGGGCAGGGAAGCCACAATGGCGGCAGCGGAAATCTAGAGCATGCAGAAGGATAAGGAAAGTGATTCGGAAGAGATCCCGAACTGGCACATGCTCTGCTCTTGGCGGAAGCCTGGAGTCAAATTGCCGGCTGTTAAGTCTGCCTCCTTGGGAGAAAGAAAGGCTTTGCTCACTCCCCTTATTGGCTAACCCAGGGTTGGACTGAATAAGCAACTTGCTGGCTTTGTTTCCAGCAGCAAGAAGACGGGGCCTGAACAGAGTTGTGTTAGATGTAAGCTGGCACAAGGGATGGTGCCAGCTTACAGGCCATTCATCCCGGAGTTCCTGGAGGCAGTGGTTATTTCCTGGGGAGAAGAAACCTTCCGCAATGTACTGAAGCGTCCAATAAAATTCCTCCCAAAGCCCTTGGACTGCGGTCCTGCTGATGGGAGCAATGAAGGAGGTTTGACATTCCCCTTCCTCCAGACCCACTAATAGGAGCCAAAATGACATCCTCTGTGTGCAAGATGGGGGTAACGGCAGGCTTGGCAGTAGTGCTTGCTTTCCAGAAGTACAAGAAACATTTTGGGAGAAGAGGCCTGGAACAGCCCAATGAGAACGAAAAGAGCCTGATGGACACAGAATGCTGAAATTCGGGCTTTGGTCTGAATATTAGGTAAGCTGTCCTGAGCGCTTCCGCTTAGAAATGTTATAATAATAATAATAATAATAATAATAATAATAATGCTGTAATAATAAATAGACAAACTTTTACAGAGCTATTCCTGAATGCTGATTGCTGTCCTCGACAGAAGGTCAGCACCATGGAGAGCTCCTTTAACACTCAAACTGAAACCAGAGTGGATTCACCGCTCCAAGGTGAGTGCTGTTACCAATTTCAACTGGGAATGGAATGGAATAAATGACAAATGACATGTAACCTTCTGCAGCAGTCCTCACGCGTTTCTCCTCCGTATGTGTGATTTTTGAAATGTGTCTTCTGTCAAAGCCCTTTCCCACACGCCAAATCATGTATACCATTTTATTATTGTGTACACTCTATTTACATGAAATAATGAGGATAAAATTTAAACTCTTCAACCACCCTATAAAACATACAACCGAGACCACCAACAAATGGGCCAAACAAATAACTTCAGTTGGCATTTCAGAGAGAAAGAAGTGACCAGTGGAAAGAGTCTTCCTTTTCTAGCTACCTTCTGTGATTTGAGAACCTGGGAGCCTTGAGAACAAAGCCCCACCTGTTGATGTAAAGGTATGCAGGTGACATCATGACATCCTATCAGGATGCCACAAGATGTGTGTTAGTTCTTAAGATGCCACCAGACTTTTTGTGGGATTTGCTGAGAAGACTAGCAAGGCCACTCCAGTATTAAGCATTGGAGGAGGCTCATGGGGAAGTTTCCCCTCTGCATGAATTCTCTGATGTAAAGTCAGGTTTGTGCTCTGGCTGAAGCTCTTTCCACACTCTGAGCATGTGTATGGTTTCTCCCCCGTGTGGATTCTTTTGTGTCGAATAAGACTTGATTGATCACGGAAGCTTTTGCTACAGTCGGAGCATGTATAGGGCCTCTCCCCTGTGTGCATCCTTTGGTGGGCACTAAGGCTTCCCCTGTGGCTGAAGCTCTTTCCGCATTCCGAGCATTTATATGGCTTCTCTCCTGTGTGAACTCTCTGATGCTGGATAAGGCTTGGCTTGTCAGAGAAGCTTTTGCTACAGTCTGAGCATCGGTGTGGTTTCTCCCCTTTGTGGATCTTTTGGTGCCTGAGGAAGTTTGTGCTCTTGTTGAAGCTCTTCCCACACTCCAAGCATTGATATGGTTTCTCCCCTGTGTGGATTATCTGATGTGAAACAAGGTGGGCACTCTGAACAAAGCTTTTCCCACATTCCAAGCATTGGTACGGCTTTTCCCCTGTGTGGATTATCTGATGTGAAGTGAGGTGTGCGCTCCGACCAAAGCTTTTTCCACATTCCAAGCACTTATACAGCTTCTCCCCTCTTGGCACTCTGGGATGTTTGGTAAGACTTGCCTGGTTGCAAAAGCTCTCGCTTGAGTCTGAGCATGGATATCGCACATCACCTGCCTGGATAGCTTCACGTGATTGGAGGGTTGTGCTATGAGGGAAAGTCTCTCCGCACTCCATATATATATATGATCTCCCCTCTTCCTGAAGCATTTCACATTCATTAAGATTTCCACTCTTGCTGAAGCTCCGTTGAAAAATTAAGCTTTTATTTGATTCCTCTTCACTGTTAATTCCCCAATGATCGCTAAGGCACGTCTCCTTTCTCTTTTCCTTCTGGGTTTCTTGCCGGACTGAGATTACATGGAAGTCACCAATCTGAGCAGGGACATCCCGCTTATCCTCCATGTGGTTTCTCTCCTGGCTGACTGGTCCATCTCGACTCCAAATCGTCAACTCCTCATGCTCGCCTTTTTCTGGCAAAAGCGTACACGGCTCCCTCGGGCGCTCGCTTTTCCACTCATCACCTGTTAGATTTAAAGCAGAAACCCAGTAAGAACCCAAGGCAAAATACTTAGACCTGCTGCATCTTCCTACTCAGAGGCGTGCTTTAGGCACGGCTAGCACCAAGAGTAAGCATGGTCAGGCACCAGGCAAGGGCCCACACCCCAGTAAGGGCCCTTGGCAGTCGGGCCTCATCTTCCCCACTGCCGCCTGTGTGTTCTCCTGCCCCTTGTCCTGGCCCAGAGGATGGAGGTGGTGTGAAGGCACCCGAGATGCCAGGCCTCCTCACTTTCGGTCCCTCTGCACGCAAGAAAGCGGATCCATGAGGAGGAAAAGGAGGAGGCGGAAGAAGAGCCTGTGGCAATGGTGGGGGGCAGGTGGACCCACTGAAGAAGGGGGCACTGAGGGTGCTGTAGCAAGGGGGCTCAGCTCTCACTCACTGCGGACTGTTCAGATAGATTCGTCAGCTTCTGAGGAGGAAGAGGAGGAGGAGGGGTGAGGGGGGTGAGGGCTTTGACGTTTCAAGGTGCTTGATATATGTAAAGGCACTGTTGCATTCATGCCCTGCTTGCAGACTTCCCATGGGAGCATCTGATTGGCTCCCGCAGGGCCAAAACGCTGCATTAGCTCAGTCACTGGCTGGGTCTGGTATGGCTGTCCTTATAAGCAATCACTCTTTTACCCTATTGCATTGTGTTACTAAGCCAACCGTGGAAGAAATATGAGGATGATGATCTTGCTCACAGACCAATGAAATGCAGCAGACAAGTGGTAAAAGATTAATACAAGAAAACGTGAAAACACAACATGAGTCATTAAAAGACATAGGTGCTTTAATTCAATAAAATCAATAAGTGCAGTAAAAGAATCTAAGCATAATGTATTACAATCCATTAATACCCACTAAGCTCAATTTATGTAGATTTATTGCAGCAACACCAAAGCCTGAAACTTTTGCAGTGACTCTGGAGGCATGATCTGACTCAATAAATACACCAGGAGTTCTTTATCCATCCTCCCCAGGAATCCTTGTACAACGAGGGTTAAAAATGAATGCCACAAGTCCTGGCAAAGGGTGCATGGCTTGGCGAGGATCTGTGGGCCAGAAATTCACCACTTGTGCCTTTGCTGATCACAGATTCCGGTTTTTTTGCAGGGCTGGTTTTAACCAATAAAGCCTTACATGGCTTAGGCCCACGACCCCTTCTGGAGCACCTCTCCTGACCATGATCTTCCTGGACACTGCGCTCAACCTCTGGGGCCTTCCTCTAAGTGCCGACTCTGAGGCAAGTGTGGAAGCTGGCACAAGAAGGAGGGCCTTCTTGGTGGTAGCCCCCATCCAAGGAATAACCTCCTCACTGCAACCTGCCAACTTTTTGGCAGCAAGTTAAGACGGCCCTCTTTGCTGGGGTTTTTCAAGACTTGCTCAGCCACCAGGGGCAGAGGGGGACCACTGGGTGCTTTCCTGAGGCGCATTCTCTCTCTTTCCATCTCTCTCTTTTTATTTCTTGTTATTGTCTGTTTTTAGCTGTTTTAAAATTTTTGCTATTTTTGCTTCTGATTTTATGATATTTTATTGTAGATTTATCATTTGTTTTTATGGACTGTGTAAACTGCCCAGACAGCTTTGGCTGGGGGGTGGGGGTGAGTGGTAATAGAAATGAAATAATTAGATAAAGAAGAGAACACAGCTCTTGAACTCCCTGCCGAGAGAAGGCAAAGCCTAGCTTAGAGCGCCCCGAAAGTCAAACACAACAGAGATGTCTCCTCTCACCGAACAGGACGGCCTCTCCGTTGTTATTTTCCTTCTTCATCTCCACGCAAAGATGCTTCTGCCGGACGTCTGGTGGAGTCTGACCCATTTCAGACCCACTCACAGCCTCCTCCGAGGAGACCTGCAATATCGTAAAAGCGTTTCCGTCAGTGGAGAGCTACGCAGAAGGTCCTGGTTTTACTTCCTTCCCTGCTCTCAGTAGTTTGCTCTTTTATGATATTAAACAACAAAAAATATTGCTGTGGCTTAGAACTCTCTTGGGGGGAGGGAGGACAAGGAGGGCCGCCTTGGAAGGAGAAAAGGTGGGATATAAATATAACAAATAAATAAAAATTATATATAAGCCAGTCTGCACATCCATGTAACACTGATATTATAGCACCTGCACTGGCTACCAGTTGAGGCTGGTCCCAATTTGAGGTGCTTGTTTTGCCATATAAAGCCCTAAATGGATATCTGAAGGGCTTTCTACTCCCATATGTACCTACATATCTGCTAAGATCTGGGTCTGAGGCCCTTCTTGAAGAACCATCCCCCAAAGAGGTGAAGGGGATGGCAAACAGGGCCTTTTTGGTGCTTGCACCTCAACGCTGAAATAGGCTCCCCAAAGAAGCTTGCCTGCTGCCTTCATCACTAGCGTTCTGGTGCCGGGTAAAGACAGTTTAATTCTCCAGGTGTTTTGACGATTGACTTTTATTGCTATATATTGTTTTCTGTGAATTTTAAATTGTTGCTTTAAGCTGCTAAACCTGTCCATATTGTTGTTTTGTAGTATTTTATTTATTTATTTATTTATTAAACCATTTTTATGCTGCCCCATTTGCCGAAGCCTCGGGGCGGCTTACAACGTATTTATTTCTCGAGGGTTATAGGGGTTGAGGGTTATAGGGGCAGTCTATAAAATTGATTAACTGAAACTCAAGGGAACAGGAAGCATGTTGGAAACTCCAGTAAACACTTTCTCACAAAGCTGCAGAGCCTTCATCTGGCATGAGGGGAGCTCTCAACCAGCAGCCTTTTATGATTCCCCCAGGAGATGCCATGAGAGACAGTGTGGTAGAGTGGGCAGAGTGTTGGACTGGGATCCGGGAGATCCAGGTTTCTAGTCCCTGCTCAGCCACGAAGCTCACGGCATGACTTTGGGCCAGCCATTCTCTCTCAGTCTAACTCCCCTCGCAGGGGTGTTGTGAAGCTAGAATGGCGCTATTTGAGCTGCCTTGGATTTCTTCGAAGAGATAAAAAGGCTGGATATAAAGGCAATGCAATAATATTAGCGATAAAAGTGGGGGAGTCCCCCTGTTGGGAGCTGGGCCTTCCAGTGCCTACCCAGCAAAGATACGGCCAGCAAAGAAAGAGTTCCTGAGCATGCACTGAGTGGTTGGTTCATTGAACCTGAACTAGAAGCCGGTTCCAAGAACTCTCCTTTGTACTAACCCCTGCTTCACCCCTCTGTGTGCAGGCCCCCTGGCTGGCGAGCCCTTCTCTCCCGATGCCACGTTATGGGATCAGGGATCGAAATGAGCACCGCCAGCGCCGCTCCCATGCCCCCTCCGGGCACTTCTGGACCCTGCCGGCGCTCAGGATCTGCCCCGAGCGGCTCTCTCCCTCCTCCGCCATCTCTGGGTCTGCAGTCCTCATTCCCCAAGCCTCACCGTGCACGTTCGAAGAGACAGTGAAATATGTGCCAAGGACTGCGGCCTCGTTCACGGCCAACACCCCTGCCTGTGCAAGGCAGCAGCAGGGCCACGGGGCGGCCCTTTATCAGGTAAAGGTCCCCATCCCAAGAAGGCGAACCTGCAGTGCACCCCTGGACCAGCTGCACCCTCTACCAGATCTTTGATGTGGCCCCCAGGACTGTGACTGTGACTGTAACACGGGGAGCAGAATGTTGCCCACACAACCAACACCATGCAATATCTGTACCCGGTTTTCGTGCCTCTTGGCCTCCCGCTGCGTCAGAAGGAAATCTTCAGCCAGGGCCACGGCCTGGGAGCAGGTCTCTGGGCCGCATTCCCGGACCCACCTCTGGATTTCGGGGGGCAGGATGGTCAGCCACTGCTCCAGGATCAGCAGCTCCAGGATCTGCTCCTTGGAGTCCTTCTCGATTCTTAGCCACCCACGGCAAAGCTCCCGCAGCCGGCTGTAAGCCCCCCGCGGCCCCTCGGCCTCCTCGTAGCGGAACCGCCGGAAGCGCTGGCGCTGCGCCTCCCTCCTCAGGGCATCCCCTCGCAAGATGGCCGCCTTCACGCTCCCGTAATCCTCTCTGTCTTTGGCCTCCAGGCTGAGAAAGGCCTGCTCGGCCTCCCCTCGCAGGGCCGGCAAGAGGCGACCTACCCACTCTTCCTTGGGCCACCGGCAAGCCTCGGCCACTTGCTCGAAGGAGGCCAGGAAGGCCTTCGGATCTTCCCACGGCTCCTCGGGCAGCCCAGGACTCACCCAGCCCGAGTGAGGGGCCTCCACCGTCTTCAAGAATTCCTGCCATTGGGTCTCCCACTGCTGGAGGGAACCCTCATCCGGTTCCTGCTTAACCTCTTCCCCTGGTCGCATTTGTAGGAATTCCCCGACAGTCTCGACCTGAGGGACAGGAGGGTCTTTCCTTGCACCCTGTGATGGCTGCCCTTGTGTGTGGTTTCCAGGGTCGTGCTCTGCTTTCTTCATCCCTTGAGCAGCCTCGGAACAAGAGCGTTGTGCAGCCAAAAGTTCTAGAATTGATGGCCGTGATCTAAGCTGCCCTGATGAATTTCTGCCAGGGGAACAGAGAGAGAAGTGAGAGAAAAAGCTTGTGTCCACATCATAGAAACTTTGTTTCAGTCTTTGATTCCAGAAAATGTTTCTAGAAAAGCCTTCTGGAAATGTGCTCTAGAAAAGTGCTTCAGCTGCTCCTCGAAGGACTCTGCTTCCTGATCACATTTATTTCATTACATTTCACAACTGCCCAATAGCAAAAGCTCTCTGAGGAGTTTACGAAGCCCAAAAGGCAATGTAATAATTTCACAAACCATTTTACATGTAAAAGCAGAAAATAATTTTATGCCACCAACCATCGAAATCCCAGAACTACTTAAAAAACAGATTATATGTGTCCAATGTGTGGAAGCCACATAAAGTCTTGACAGGGCGCTGGAAAGCAACAAGATTGGTGCCGGGCAGATCTCACAGAGAAGGGCGCTTCATAATCAGGGCCCGTCACTAAAAAGGCTTTCTTCCTGCTGCCATCTTTTAAACCTTTCTGAGAGAGGCCCTTAGAGGAAGACCTTTTTCCACTATGCCATACCCTCATAAAGGTAAAGGTAGAGGTTTCCACTTGACGTTAAGTCCAGCCATGCCCGACTCTAGGGGGCGGTGCTCATCTCCATTTCTTGGCCGAGGGAGCCAGCGTTTGTCTGAAGACAGTCTCCATGGTCATGTGGCCGGCATGACTGAACACCGCAGTGTGTGGAACGCTGTTACCTGCCCACCAAAGTGGTACCTTTTTATCTACCTGCCTTTGCATGCTTTCCAACTGCAAGGTTGGCAGGAGCCGGGACGGAGCAACGGGAACTCACCCCGTTGTGCAGATTCGAACCAGCGACCTTTCAATCAACCAGCCCAGCAGCACAGCGGTTTAACCCACTGCGCCACCTGCAGTCCCTCAGACCCTGACACTAATTTGATAACATGAAATCCAGAATTGGAAACAGTGATCCAATGATGGCCTTACTAGCACAGAATAAATTGGAACGATTACTTTTCATGACCTGGACACTATGCCAGAGAGGTGCATGTGATATTTGCATTTAAAATGTGTATTTAAGAGGGGGATAGACTAGGAATTTAAAACTAAATACTGGGTCCTCCTCTCCAGCTATCCCAGGAACTCCTTTCTGCAGACACACAGCTGCTTTCTCTCTCATCCACATTATTAGAAATATTCCAGTGTTTATGATTTGGTTCATACACCGCCTTTCCACCAAATAACTGGTGTTCAAGGTGGCCAACAACAGTAAGAACCAACATTTAAAATAACCTAGTTACAACAAGAAACACAAACCCACATTCATTAAAAACACCAGAGGAAAACCCACAATGACAAAAGAAATAGAAACGCACTTCCAATCCAATACGCCGAAGGTGCGCCTGAATCAACCTGTCTTTGCTTGCCAATAGAGAATAACCCAACTGAGCCTCATTTAGCAGGGAAATCCCCAACCAGGGAGCCACCACAGAGAAGGCCGTGTCACATCCCCACAAAATGTGCCCTCCATGGGGGTGGGACAGAGAAAAGGGCCTCCCCCGAAGAACTTATAGCCTGGCAGGCACATATGGGAGAGGGTGGTCTTCCGGGTAGCTTGGTCCCAAGCCATGTACAGATTTATGGATCACAACCAGCAATTTCAGTTGTGCCCAGAAACAATGATGTCATTATAGCAAGTAACACAGTCAACCAACCGGCCGCAGCATTTTAGACCCCTGAAGTTTCTGAGCCGTTTTCAAAGGCAGTCCAGCGTGTGTGCATGGGATCATTTATCCCTCCCTCTTTCTTACACCCTCAGCTCCTCATCCCCTTATAGGGTGCCTGAGAAGAGATAGGTTCATCTTGCTGGAGGTCTGAAGGGGTCACTTGCAGGGCAGAAGGCTGCATGGGTCACCATGAGTCAAGACATTACTCCATAGCATTTAACAAGAATATACAGGGCCACAGAGCTATAGGGTTCCTCCCTTCTCTTAGCAAGTTCTATAAGAATTACCCCCATATCCTTGATCTTCAGGTGCAGAATGGAAATGGAGAACCAAAAGGACAGAAAAGAAAATTATGCTTTCCGGATGCCCAGAGAGCAGAATGCTAATAGGGTGGCTTTTATACAACTCTAATAAACAAACACATAAATAAATAAAGCCAAAGCCAGAAAGGGAAGCAAAGGTTGACCACCATGCCGTAGAAACACACTTAGTATTCAGACCAAAAAAGGGCTGGGTTGAATGGGGGCTGTTGCTGAATTATGGTGTGTTATTGTGACACAGGTTATTGTGTTGTCTGAATCTAGCTGCATGTACACGCCGTGGCTTGTTGACCATGAACAACCCATGAAGAGAGCCTGTGGTTTTGTTGTCAATGGTGAGTTGTTCCTCTCTGCTCAGTGACACCCTGGGCTCAGTTGTCTGAAGAGTTTTCAGGCACAATCCTGAGCAAGTTAAGGCAGAGGTCCTACTGTGTGGCTGCCTGGCTGGGGGATGCTGGGAGTTGTAGAGCTTCTTTCTCTCAAGACATGCATAGGGTTGGGCCCTTAAGAGTCAGATGGGGCTTTGACAACTGAAAGACAGGGTGGTATAGTGGTTAGAGCAGGCTCCCCCAATCTTGTGCCTTCCAGACACATTTGGACTGCAACACCCAGAATTCCCAATCAATGGCACCCCTGGATGGGGATTCTGGGAGTTGTGGTCCAAATGCCTCTGAAGGCCAGCAGGTTGGAGGAGGCTGGGTTAGAGTATTGGACTGGGACTTGGGAGATCTGAGTTCTAATCCCCACTCAGCCATGAAACTCACTTGGTAATTTTGGATCAGTCTTTAACTTTCAGCCCAACCTACCTTGCAAGGTTGTTGTGTAAATAAAATGGAGAGGATGAAGGCTATGTAAGTTGCCTTGGGTTTCTTGAAATAGGAAAAAAAGGGGAATATATATGGAAGGAGAAGGAGATGAACAGTGTCCGACTCGCTGCATTTTTCTACATTGCTGAGACTTTCCTTTCAGTGCAAGCAATTCTTAAACGTTGTTCTGTTAAATAATCACAAAGGCACAGGGGCTCCACTCAAGCAACCTCCCTCCGCTTGCAGAATTCCCTGCAAATCTCAGAAAAGCCTCCACGATCCCCTTCAAATGCTGCGGGATGTCCCGTCAGCCCCCATTCAGTATGGCCGATGGTCAGAGACAATGGGAATTGTAGTACAAAAATCTGAGCGATGCAGACTGGGGAAAATGGGCTTAGCAAGTGCTGCCTGGGCTCTCTCTCTATTTCCCATATATTTGCAACTGATTAAGGAAACGATCCTAGGGATGCCAAAGGTCCCACAACTCTTGGACTTTTTTCTCGTCTAAATGCGCAGAGACCGCGCCTTCTGGGAACAAACTTTCGACCCTTTTCACCTCTGGCCCAGGCGGGCTGTTTCTCTGCCTCGCCAGACCCTTTCCTTTCTTCTGATCGCCTTGCCAAAGGGAAAATTTCCCAGGGCTTCCCCGCTTCTCCAGCCTTCAAACTCACCCAGGTCTCTCCAGCGTCTTCCTCAGTACGGATCAGAGAACCGCAGCTTGGACAATCTTCTCCCACGTTCCCCAGTTTCCGAGGCTTTTCTTTATCTCTTTTTAAGATTCTTTTTTTTTTTAAACCAGCTTCCGGGGGAGGAGCCAGGCAAGGAAGAGGATCCCGGAGTTCACATCCTGGTCCTCTTTGTTAGAAATAAATAAATAACCCCCCTCCCCCGCCGCTCCGGCTCCTGTCTAGGAATCCGTGCAGGGCAAGCGCCTTTGGGGTGACTGCAGAGCGCGACTTGCTCGCAAGTAGGTGCGCACCGGGTTGCAGCCTCAGATTTGTGGGTGCGGCTGGGATCGCCTTGTTCGGGTCGCGGGGGAGACGGAGAAATAGCTTCCTAAGTTTCTAGTCCTTTGAGGGAAGCGCCGTGCGGTTGCATGCGTGGGTCCGAGTTGGATTCTGGCCTCTCCAGCTGGGGCTAGGAAGGCATCCGACCTGTGGGTGCCCGTTGGCGTTGACTCAAGATGGCCCGTTGCTCTGGCTAAGACAATGTCTGATGATTCGATATAATTTAGCTCTTGATTCAGCACCATGAGGACTAGCATCTCTGTTTTCAGGTGACAGGCAATAAATCAGTGGGAGAGCCCTGCTTTGCAGGTTTCCCGGCTCAATCTCTGCTTCTCAAGTCGAGATAAGAAAGAATCCAGCCTAAAACCCTGAAAAACAGTTGGTTAGTATTGACAAAATTGGACTGGTCTGGTCAATTTGGGGTGTTTTTTTATTTAATGTATCCCTCTAGTCAGAGGGGTGTAGTGGTTAGAGCACTTACTGGGTCTCGGGAGATCTGGATTCTTGTCCCTGCTTGACTATGAAGCTCACAGGGTGACTTTGGTTCAGTCACTCCCAGTCAGCCTGACTACCTTGCAAGGCTGTTCTTGTGAGGATAAAATTTATTTATTTATTTATTAATTTATTAAAACATTTATATGCCGCCCCATTCGCCGAAGCCTCGGGGCGGCTTACAACATAATAAAAAATTACAATAGTAACAATATAAAATATAAAATAACAATATAAAATAAATAACAATATAAAAGAAGTCGCCCTGGCCAGATAAATAAGCAAATACTGTTAACAATTAAAACAACGCTTAAATAAAAAGGTCTTCGCCTGGCGCCGAAAAGCAAATAACGACGGTGCCAGGCAGACCTCTCTGGGGAGCGCATTCCATAGATTGGGCGCCATCGCAGAGAAGGCCCTCCTCTGAGTACCCACCCTCCTGATTTCTTTCACGGAGGGTTCCCGGAGAAGGGCCTCTCCCGCAGATCTCAAGGGGCGGGTGGGCATATATGGATGTAAGCGCTCCTTCAGGTAGCCAGGACCCAAGCCGTTTAAAATGAAACTAAGTAAGCTAACAAGGGGAAAAAAGGTGGGATATAAATGCAATGTTGCCGCCACCGATGATGATAAATGCTCAGGGAGCAACTCTGAACCAAACTCTCAGCTTACCCTCCCTTGCAGGGTTGTTGTGAGGATAAAATGAAGAAGAGGAGAACTGGAAAGCCATCTTGGGTCTCTTGCCTGAAACAGGAGATGTGTTAAACAGGTAGTAATAATACAGTAAGGACTGAGATCTTGCTTTGTCTTTAGGTGAAGGGCAAAAGCTCTGTGGTACAGCCCCCTGCTTTGCACGGTGAGGTCCCAACTTTGATCCTAAGTGTCCAGGCTGGGCCAGGAAGCAATCCTTCCCGATGACCCTAGGAAGACCCTGGTCTAGAAGAACGCCTGATCTGACTCATTCTAGTTTCCAAAGTTCCTATTTAACTCAGCCCACTATTCAGAACAATGAGGACTGGAATCTTACTTGATTTTTAGTGAAGGCAATGGCAGAGCATGTGGTTGCATAAAGCAGGTCCCAGGCTGGAGCGGGGGCCAGTTGGTGTTGGCCCTGCTGGGCTGGAAGGCCATGCTCCAGAACCTTCCTGCATCTTCCTTCCTGTTGCTTCCTTTTAACTGGGGAAGGGGGATGCCGAGAGTGGAGCTGTGAGCTTCCAGATCCAAAAGATGCCCTCTGCAGCGTGATTTGCATGTCCCAGAACCTGGCCCAAATTCCTTACTAGGCTCCGCATTGCCGCTTTAACAAAATGTATCATTGTGCACCACATTTTCCTTCCTTTCTTCTTGCCACGTGTCCACCTTATCTCTGTGCCAAGCCAGAAAGGCGCTGAATGCATCTGATGATCCTGGCATTCTGCTCTCTCCAAACCTACAATACTATAATACATTTGCTAGTTTTTAGGGTACTTTTGCCACTTCTCCTACAAGCACCCGACTCAGCAGCCCCTCTGGGAAATTGTGCTAGGGATTGACAAAAAAAATCAGACATTTCAACAGATCCCAACAAATATTTTGGCCCCTGCTTGCAAGGGAAAAAAATACAGACTGTCCAGGCTGCCTCTAAATATATACCCCACCTTCTTTTGCTCTTGCATGGAGCCCAAGGTAGTCTGTGCAGTCCTCCTCCACTCCAGTTTTATTCACACAACAACCCTGTGAAGTAGGTTAGGCTGAGAAGCAGTGGCTGGCCCAAAGTGGCTGGCCCAAAGTTAGGCTGAGAAACAGAGGCTGGCCCACTCTTGAGCTGCTTTCGCAGTACTTGAGTGCCCAAAGCACGGATTTCTGGTTTTGTTCCTGAAGCTGCTAATTTGTACATAATCTTGGAAATATAAGACACTAGTCCCTAAGCAGGAAGAGGAAACAGAACAATGATTTCTACTTGCAGGGACAGCGGAGCAGGACGAGGGAGGGGGAAGGCCTTCCCTCCTCTGCAGCCAGCACAGAAACCAAGCGGGCCGTGGGAATGCTCGCCTGCCTACCTGCTGGGGAGCCTGTGTTGTCTTCTGTGCACGCGCCTCTGTGGCATTCCTGGTCGCCACAGGGGACTAGGGGGTGTTCAGGGCAGCGCGGCCCTTAGCAGGCATCCAGAATGTCCGAGAGCAAAAGGGAGCGATCGAATCTGGCACTGACGGTTCCCTTGTGTTCCCTCCCTCCGTGTTTCCCCTCCCCAGCCGAGTCTGCGTGGCCGTCTTTCGGGCTAGAGGTTGCTGTGCCGGCGCTCTCCCCGCCCCGTGAGGCCAGCCAAGGATGAAAATGGAAGAGCAGGGCCCGGCCGGCCTCCCCGCGGAAGAGGGGCCCAGCGGAGCAGGAGGCGCCCTTCGCGTCCAGCGGGCCGGGAGTGGCGGGGCAGCCCCGCCGAGGGCGCCGAGGGGCCGGGTGAAGCAGGAGCCGGGCGAGGGCCCCGAGCAGGCGTGGGAGGCACAGTGGCAGGCCTTCCTGCGGACGGTGGGGTCCCCGCAGCCGGGCTGGGCCGTGCCCCTGCCGCCGGAGGAGCCCAGCCCCTGGGACGACGCCGAGGCCTTCCTGGCCTCCTTTGAGCAGGTGGCCGAGGCCTGCCGGTGGCCCCGGGCGGACTGGGCGGCTCGGCTCCTGCCGGCCCTGCGAGGGGAGGCCGAGCAGGCCTTTCGCGGCCTGGAGGCCCAAGACAGGGAGGACTACGGGAAGGTGAAGGCGGCCATCTTGCGCGGGGATGCGCTGCGGAGGGAGCGGCACCGGCAGCTCTTCCGGCGCTTCTGCTACCAGGAGGCCGAGGAGCCCAGGGCTGCGTACGGCCGCCTGCAGGAGCTGTGCCATCGCTGGCTGAAGGCGGAGCGGCTCTCCAAGGAGCAGATCCTGGAGCTGCTGATCCTGGAGCAGTTCCTGGCCATCCTGCCCCCGGAGACGCAGAGCTGGGTCCGGGAGCGCAGCCCCGAGTCTTGTGCCCAGGCGGTGGCCCTGGCGGAGGACTTCCTGCGGAGGCCCAGGGGGGCCCCGCGACTGGCCGGCCAGGTGGGCTGTGTGCCGCCCTCTTGCAGGGGGGAGCTGACCCAGTCGTGGGGGTGCATCTGGCGTCTCCCTGCAGCGGGATGGGGACACGCAGGGCAGGATGGGTGGGATCAGGCCCACTTGGCACATGTGCCATGCTGCTTGTGTCTCGTGGGCACTGTCACAAAATGGTTGCTGGGGGAGGCTTGCCCAGCCACAAAAAGGCTGCCGTGGTGGGCATGGCTGGCTGCAGAACATTTCCCTGAAGCAGAGCGATGAGATGACAAGGAGCGTCGCCCAGAGAAGCTCCCTGTAACTCCCCGCAGCCAGAGAAGGAGCCTGTGGAGGTGGGAAAGGCCTGCCCGAGGGCCCCAGAAGGGTGAAAGGGCTCCAGCAGCTCCCGCATGAGGGGAGGCCGAGGCACCAGGGGCGGTGCCGCCTCGGAAGGGGCGAGGGAACGGGGGGGCGAGATGGAGGTTTGGGGAACGTGGCACGGCAGGGGAGGTTCTTCTCCGCCTCGTGGAGGGAAGGTGGGAGATTCAGGACAGGCAGCGAGCGAGACGCCTGCTGCGTCCGGGAAGCACCCGCAGGAGGCCCTCAGGCCCAGCCTCCTGGCCCTTCCCTGCCCCAACGGGAAGCCCACACGCGGGGCGCCCGTGCCCCAGCAGCGCCCAGCCCATGTTCCCCGGCAGCTGATCTCCACACGTGTGGTGCCTGTGATTCTCTGACCATGAGGACTAGCAGCTCCTGGCAGGCTTTGCTCCCATGAATTCATCCCATCCCACCACTGCGTGGAAGCGAATCCCACCCCTTTAATGGGCCCCCAACCCTGACCCCCTTCCCACTCCATCACCCCACTCTGCAATGCCTCTTCTCTGCTACGGCAGGTGGATTTTCAGGGTGCCCCTCTGAGCTTCCCCGACGCCCCATCTGAGCTTGGAGCGAAGCTGCTGTGCAGGGAGGCCAAGGAAGAGGAGGACGAGATGGAGGTCGCGGTGTTGGGTAAGCGGCATGAAAAGTCTCAAACTCCAAAATCCTGTTCAAACAAAAATAGCTAAGCGCAACCCTGTAGAAAAAATTACTTATTTCTTTGCAACGCTTTCCAGGATTGCCTTCGAAGGTGAGGTGTAACGATGACATCGGTCTCCCTCAATCACTGGAATTTGCAGAGATCATGCATGTCTATG